ATAGATACTGTACTTAAGGTACAAAAGCTAACAGGTTTTTTTTGTGTCTTAGGTTCTTCATTTCTTCATCCAAGCGACTCTTCATGTTCATCGATCATGTTCACTGCGAAGACAATGACGCCTTTAAAAGCGTCCAAGCAGACTTCAGCCGCAGCGTCAAAGATCAAGAATAAGATCCTCAGTGAGTATAAAGCTGCTAACAAAGATTTTCCAGGGGCTGTAGTCGCTCTGGATGTTTTCCAGAACTTTCACTGCCGGGCTGGTCAGTTGTCAGGAGAATGTTTGACTGAGCCCATGTGAGACCACGGCAGGAAAATACACAGAGAGCGAGTGGACATGTTGATGAGGGTTCTAACATGCGGAAGATGTGAAACTCGCCCCTCGAATATTACAGACATTTTCCTGTTGTTTTGAACGAGTCGGACCCGGACAATGTCCTGCTGCTGCTTCACATATGAAAGAAGACAAAATGTCCACACACGATTTTCTGGAAAAACACATTCATTTGACCACATTTACAAATAAACCAATAAACTTCATGAAAAATGTTATATTGTTCTCCCATTAAGAACTAATGTTGAAATCCTTCTTCATGACCACACCAGACACGTCCTCCTTCTTCAAGGTTTCTTTGAAGACCAACAACAAGGCCTTAGCTCTGGCTCTGGAGGCCCAGAAGGAGCGGAGCAGGCAGCTGGAGATGGAGATCGTGTACCTGCAGAAACAAGTGGAGGCTCTGTGCTTCGAGCTGGCCACCAGGAAATACAAGGACAGGAAACTGGTGGGTTTGAAAAGATCATTCCAGGAAAGCAAAACCACAGACTGAAATGGTGGAAGAGGAAAACAGGTGTTCTTCTAACACACAGACGGTCTGATAAATGTTCTGATTGTTTTCCTGTCACAGCTCCTCATCTTGAAAAACCTTCATACAAACACTCTGCAGCACTTCGACATGGTGGCCGACCTTTTCTCAGACTGTGTGAGGATTCCTCTCGATAACTATTGAAACGTTCTTCTTTGCGTGGCTCCTTGCATAGACGTGATCTATGATTGCCTCTGTATTTACCGCCCACAGGATCTTCCCAAACTATCTCAGGATAAAAAAACTGTGTTCTGTAACATCGAGGAAAATCCTGCAGTGGAAAGGTGAGATTACTGAAAATATTATTTTTTACACAACAAATAACCTGTTTTGGTGTTTGCAGCTTTGACTCGATTGTTTCCTCCACCCTCTCCTCTTTCAGTCGCACAGATCAGTCTCCTCCTCGCCCGGAAATCGCAAAAGATTTGTTGTGTCCCAGTAAAAATGTAACAACGAACCTGCCTGAAAAAAATATGGAAGAACATCTCTTTGGTAAACCCAGAAAGTCCACAGATGCTTACAAAGGTATGGGGGGGTATACATTTTAAAGTTCTAGTGTTTATATTTCACAGTTATCTACGTGGTGATACCGACCAGGGTTTTTTTTGTTTTTAAAAAGACTGAAAAAGTGACTAGTTTTAACTAGTTGAAAAACCCTGACAGAGTTTTTACTGAACTTATAAATTTGCTCTCCCATCGATCATCAGATGCTGAGAAGAGGCGTGCGACTCAGCGTATTCAAGCTGCCGCGGCAGGAGCCTCCCGTCCGTCCAGCAGCCTGCGGGCTGAAGTAGAAAGGCTGTCCATGATGTTCTCTCAGTCGGGCTCTGACATGAAGTTGCTCCCCTGTTCTCAGAACAGTCAAACCTCGTCCTCGCGTCTCAGCACATGTGAAGGATCCAAACCAGCCTCCACTGACGCGCTCTCTGAACCAGAACTGGACCAGAGTAACAAACTAGAGAAAACGGTGCTTCTGGATGCATCCATGGAGATGACGCAAAGCGACAACCCTGAGATAGTCGTCGTGGAAACCAAGGTCAAAAAAACAAAACCAGGCAGCTCCAGCAAACAGAAACGCAAGAAGAATAAGGAAGACGCCTTCGGGTTGAGTGCGGCTGAAAACGCTCGAGAGAAGAACTCTGCAGATTCTGGGATGAGCGATGTTCAGACTGCTCCCACTGACGCTGAGTTACAGACAGACGACCACGAACTAGAGGGAATCAAACTTCAGAGTGAGTCGCCTAAAAAAACGAACAGCTCTCGTATTCCCAAACTGGGCAAATCTGATCCGATCAGCTGTCAGAAAAAGTCCAAATTAAAATCATCACAAAACACCAAGTCCGGTGACATTGTCTCTCTGGAGCTGGACGATTATTTCACAGACTCTCAAAACAAAGTGAGAAACAGTGTGAAAGTACACGCAGAGGAAGATGCAGCAGAAAACGCAGGGTCCAAAATCACATGCAGGAGGACCAGGGGCAGGAAGGGGTCGTCAGCCATCAAGAAATCTTCCTCCACTTTGCCTGAACCGTCTCATGTCCGTGAGACCGGCGTGTCTGACTCGGAACAGCTTCATAATAAACAGGAAGACGTTGTTGAGAGTTATGAAGAGTTTTGTGTAGATGACATCATACGTCCAGTGTCTGCAGGACGTCACAAATCAAAATGCAGAGGCACGTTTCTCGTCGCGGTGATGTCACCAGAAGCCGCTGAACAGGACGTCATGTCTCCTACTGGATCCTTCACCCGTGAGGCAGAGAAAGTGTCCTCAGTCACACCTGCAGGCGTCGTTCTGCAACATTCACAATCAATTCCACCCAAACACAGCGATGAGGAGACGCCGAGCTCCTGTAAGCGTCCTTGGGTGGCCACTCAGGATTCGGAGAGCCTTGGAGAGGACATCAGCAGCGACGCCTACCACGATGCACTGCTCCTGCACCAGGAGTTTCAGAAACCTAAAAAAGCCAGGAAAGAAGAGACGGGGCGATCCGGCAAGAAGAAAACCACACAGAGGAAGGAGGGTGACGACCTTCTAAATGAGAAGAGAAAGAAGAAGAAGAAAAGCAGCCGCAGCAACAAAGGATTCAGATCTGGAGATGAAGCGTTCGGTTTTCTGCAGGACGTCACCGACGAGCCTGAAAGACACAAAGAACGATTAGATGTGCAAGAGGTGGACTCACGTTGGAACGTCAGCGAAGACGTTGACATCTTCGAACATTTCTGTGATACGAGAGCCTCAGAGCCAAAGTCCACGGCGGAAACTAAACTAAAACTAAAAGAGCGCAGAGCGAAGCCCAAGCCGCAGACGCTCACAGGAACCAGAAATCCAAGGGAGACGTTTGTCGTCTACAGGCGGAAAACTCGAGACAGCAAGACCACGTCGGAACTGTCCGACGCCAGCAGTCACGTGGCGGACGCCAACGATGAGGCGGCATGTCAGACTCTGGGAGACCTGCTGACGGACGAGGTGCCGCCGTGGTTGGAGATGGACGTCAGCACCGCAAACACTGAGGGGGGGTCTTTCCTGGATAGTCCGAAGAGGGAGACATCAGGTGTGGGGGCTGCAGAGATCGAGGAGTCCGCTGCTGTCATAACCGAAGCTTCTCCAGGTGTGGTGTCAACTCTCCTCCTCATACATTCATGTGCTTAGAGCTGCGATAACGAGCTGACTCATCCATTTTATTCATGGTTCCGTCTTCACACATGAACTTGAACTTGAATTTGATCCTTTTCTTTGTGATAAATGAAAGTGAACTGAGAATCTTTGGGGGTTTTAGACTGAACAACTGTGTTCTGATTGATTGTGTGTTGCAGCAGGAAGAGTCTTAACATCACTGACTAACACCATCATGACCCCAGGCAGCGAAAGCGGAGGCAGAACCAGGAGACGTCACGGTGTCGTCAGTTACAAGGAGCCGTCCCTCAACAGGTGAGGACGTCTGGAAGATTGTTTCACTCCCGATTACACCAGAAAAACCTCTGTGAGTAACTATTGATATTTATTCTTCATTTCTAAACAGCAAAATTCGGCGTGGAGATAAATTCACCGACAGCAAGTTCCTGAGCTCTCCGGTGTTTAGAGATGGAAAGAAGAAGAAGCAGAAGAAGACTGCAGCAAAGCCAGTGTTAGACAGATCCATTTTGGATGAATGATTATTTCATTTGTCTCATCTGGTTTATTTTATTTAATAGTTTCTTTTCTTTTGAGAATTCTGAAGGAGTTTTTTTTTAAATCAGGTTTCCTGGCAGCTGAACCTGATCTGTATCTCCACTTGCTCTCCAGCGTTGCGTGCTTGTTAGTGGGTCAGAGAGATTGACAGTAGGTTGCTCATGAATGATTCAGCTGAGAAATCGGAGCCACGTTCCTGTAAAAGGCTCCGGTTCCTCAGAAACGTTCCCAGATTCGCTTCTGCACGACCGCGGCATGTGCAGGGTTTTGTGTCGTCACGTGAGCTGAGGTATTGTTGTGCGTTGGTCGTGCAGGACTGTGTGGTGAGTACACACTGTTAGATTTACAGGACTTCTTTTGTATTTTCATTTAAAGTTGTTTTCTTTGTCTTTTTATTAAAGTTGTTCTTGCACAGACGAGCTGGATTCAGTTTTTATTTTTTACTCCTTACACTCACTGTGTATTTCTTCTCTATCAGGGTGTCAAGTTCATTTCCTGGCAACGTAGCACCACAACCCAGCAGTTAACCAACCTGTTACTGTTAGCTTCACATCATCTATTAGTTTTCTGACTTCACGTTTTAGATCCGTGATAAATTCATGTGTGTTTAACCAAAATAAGATTGATGTCAACTAGAGCTGCAATAATAATTTGATTAAACAATTTGTCGATTGATGGAAAATCATCCTGCACCTATTTCAATATGAAGTATGAGACAGTAATCTGCATTTCTGTTTGATGTGAAAACTTTAATTTTACAGAATCAACGATGCTGAAATCTTTTTTTTCTGAATTCAAATTCTATATGTTTGGTTGTGTTTCTGTTTTCTTATAATTAATAGTTATTTTGGTGTTTCTTAAACAAAATGTTTGACGATGACATGTTGGGAATCTTTATTTTTATGTTTTCCATTTTTTAAATGAGATATAATTACCGGCTGGAGTCTAGTTGTTTTCCTGTGTGTAGGTGAAATCTTCTCCTGTCGTCTCTGCAGGTGTCTGGTAAAATGGGGGCTCGGCAGCTGAAGAGGGACGTTGAGGCTCTCATGTGAGTCGACAGAGGTTGATTAAAAACAACATGAAGCGTATTTTATAATAACAGGTTTTCATTTTCTCTGATTTGAACAGTGGTGATTACATCGGACACAAACTCAGAGAGAATTCATTTGATCCGAAGGGGAAGGGGACGTCCACGATGCTGGATGACCTGGTCACAAACTTTACACAGTTTATTTTTACTTAATTATCTAAATTAAACAATTTCTTTTCACGTTTTACACAAATTCAGCTTCTGTATTTTATTTGTTCCAGGCTCACTATGATCTTGCAATCAGTGTCGCCCTCTGGTGGTTGGACAAGGAAGAAGGAAGGGACGTGCTCCACAGTGACATCATGTAAACATGTTTTTATGAACTAAGTGAAACTAAAAACTAAAACTTCAGCTGCTGTAGGTTGAAGTTGTTTTTATTTTTGAACACCTGCTGCAGTGATTCAACAGTTCATCAGGTGACTGAGAGAAATGTGAATGAAGCTGCACGAGACTATTAGAACATTTTTATGTTAAAACACAGAAGAATCCTGAAACGAACAAAGATGTCATGCTCAGTTGTTTTGTGACGGCAGAAATATGAACACGTGTGTGAGCTGATGAAGTGATCAAAACCTAGAACACTGAATGAAATGTTATCTCACTTTCCTCTCTCTGTCAGTGGAGCAACATTCAGCTCAGGAAGTTCCAAGTATCCTAATCGCTTGGAGCGCGAGGCGATGATCCTGTCATCGTTTGCTGGGATTATTATGGTGAGTGTTTTTATACATGAACGCAGTTTTTAGTCCAACCTGACGTCCCACTAAAGGTTGAATCATAAGGAATCTTTATACACTCTGTGTTTCAGAGTAGTCTGCCTGTGGAGGAAATCTTGGATCTGTACAAGTGTAAACCAGCAGCGTTGTATCCTAACCAGCAATCCAAGGTACGAGCAGAGTCCTGGACGATGTTTCACACATTAGAACAAACACAAACTGTTTGACTGATCATCATTAAACGTTTGAGGAAGTGTTGCATGGTTTGTCTTCTTTAGAGACATGTTGTTAATGTTGAACAGTAAATTCTATGTTTTGTTTTTGAACTCAGGGTTCAATCGTCTGTCCCTTTACTCTCTCGTACCATCCGTTCGCCATGCTGGGTTCTTACAAGGCAGTGAGCCACTCCAAGAAGCACAGTGAGTTTAGATTAAACTCTGTTCTTCTCTTTGTCCACTTGTTCCCACACAACGGCCGAACAGTGTCGTCTCACGACTCTTCATCACAGTTTTATACTCAAAGTTTATGTTTAAA